GCTTCTCTTGCTATCTTCAGGCCTGGCAGAGCAGAAAAAAAGGTCAGGGTGTGAGCGATGACCTGCTGTGAGTGCAGGGAGCTGCAGGGCTCCTGCAAGGTATGACTGAACTGCACAGGCAGAGCTGCATGAAAACCAGGGGTGCCTGTAGCTGTGGGTGCTGCAGGCTGGGAATAAAGCAATGTGGGAAAGTTGTCTTTGTGTGCTTGGTTTCCCACTGTATGTAAACACTTAATTTCCCTTACAACTGCAAAAAAACAGCCCTTACAACATCACTGCTGAGACTTAGGACCCTCTGGTTAGAAAAGACTTTGTGTGGGGGCACATTAAAAGTACCCTGCTTGGCATTTAGTCATGCTGCAAAAACAAGATCCCAAATTCAGCTCATGAGGTCAAAGTCATCTCAAATTGCTTAATACTGTAAGTGAAAATACAATGAGATTCTTACTCATGATTTTATCTAGCTGTTTATCCTTAACTGTTTCCTGTATCAGGCCAAACATGAAGTATCTGTGCCTATCTTTAGTATCAAATAAGGGTCAGTTAGTTAGTTCCTTGCCTTTAGCTTCCCTCATGCAGGGCAAGCGTTAGCTGATCCTGAATGGGCTTTACTTAAAGCTGGAGGGATAAAAACCCTGTGGCAACTGATGGGAACAGTCTGGCCAGACAAAATAAGGGAGATAGGCTGACATATAGCTGTTGTCAGATCATTACCTGCAGATAATAACAGATAACTCTGACCAAAATCATGAGTTTCTGTGATTAAAAACAGTAACTGATTTTATCAACCTGTTTTTGTGTGTGTGTGTGGTTTGCAGATGTGTGTGTTGAGGCCCATGGTTAGCTAAGGGGTTCTTGGCTTCAGGTCTGTGGGTTCTCCTGAAATGACCCACGTCTGTTCTGGCAGTGGTGAAAGAGAAAGCATTTACATGTCCCCTTGCAAAGAGCTTGCAGTGCATAGTGCAGCCAGCTTGAGGAGATGCAGTGGCCAAAAAGGAAGAGAACCAAACAAATAAAAATGCGTAACTGGCTAATATAAACAGCATGTCAAGCAAGAACCAATTCTGAGTGCTTGTCTTCCAGACAGAGATGGTATCTTCTCCTTTCTGCTTGCTCTCCATTGCATTTTCTCCCTCCTGGTATTGGTGACCAGGAGGAAGCTGCAGCAGCCACTTTGTCACCTGCAACACAGTGTTTCAGTCTTTTCCTTAGGTAGGGCAATGAAAAGCATTTTGTACATAGAGGAGCAGAGAGGAAAGGCTCTAACCAGCCTCGCAAGAAAATGAAATGTATTTGAGGATGTGCAAATGATGAGTGGTTTGTTCGCTTGCCCGGGTCTTGAGCCATTGCTATTTTGCTTGTAAAAAACACGGACCCTGTCCCCCCACCTAGTTAAGCCTGATGTGCTTACGAGTTTGAGAGAAGTGCAGTCCACTCCTGCTCTGAAATTTGTTCACCATTTCACCTACAGATAGATGCTTTTCCAGTCGCAATTGATACAAATTTTATTATGGCAGCTGAATCTTCAGGATTTTAGATATCTCCAAAGAAGAGAACTGGACTTTCTTCATTGAGTCCTATCCAGAACTGGGATTACAGAAGCGAGCTTGTCATAGAAGTCTGAATCCATTACCCGTCCTCATTCCATAAACACATGAATTCAGATACTTTGTTTTGCATTACCTCTGCTTGTTAGTCAGAGTTATCTGGTCCTTAAAATATACTCCCAAACCAATTACCATTTCCTGTTCCAGGCAATTCCATTAATCAGCCTTCATGGCATGAGTAAGCAGGCCTGACTTTGATAAAAACTAATTCACACGGAAAGTACGAAAAACAGTTTCTCTGTTCCTTGTGTGGGTGAGGCATTGACTGCAAGTTAGGATAGAAATTGCTCAGCACTTCCTAAAGATCCCTCTACTTGCAATTAGATGGGTCCCATGGTCACAGAAAAGGCAACAAGCTATTAAATCGGTTAAAAACTGGCACACACAAATAAATAAATAAATAAAAAGGCAGTATCAGAAAACCTAGATGCTTAATAGCCTGCTGCTTCTTTTCTCTTGCTGTTCTCTGCTCTACAAAACTTTCTTGAAGACTGTCCTACTGCCCTCTGCGGGCTTCACCTTAAGTAATCCTCGGGGCGTGTGCTCAGAGGACACGAGACACTTGTGTATCTCTTCTCTTGTGCCCCCTTGTGCCGAAGCTACTTACTAGAGAGATGATGACCCGCTTCTGAGAAGGCCAACTGCGTCCCTCCCCTGGCTTCCAAGGCACGGCAAGGCTGGAGGCAAAGGTGCTCGTTGGGGTCCACATGTCCTGAGAGCCAGGAAGGCACAAACCTGTCCTCAGAGGGACAGAGATGGAGGTTTTAGTGCCGGGGTAGGAGGGCGGCACGTGTGGGTTCCTGCCCTAATCTTTGCTTAGGTGCTTTATTGTAGCGGGGGTTTCCAGGGCCTCAGCTGAGGGTTTTTGCAGGGCGTTTATGGATGTAAGTACTAGCATTCCTAAGTGCAATTGATTACAATAAAATACAATATTACTAATAAAATTTACACACTAAAAATCCCTTGTGAAGCAGGAAGGTGTTTTTATTTTTCAGTACTTCCCTATATTTGCCAGAATTTCAAGACTGTAAAAGTCGATGCTGCTTGACAGCTCGAGCTGCTCAGCGCTTCTGGGCTTCCTGGCGAGTGGGACGTGGAAGGGCCAGGGTGCCGGGGTGCTGGGGCTCATCTGTGTGCCCTCTCTGCCAACAGAAATAAGAGTTTCAGTAGGCAGTAGTTTGTCCAGTAACTATGGCAAAATCTTGTTTTTATGTATGTATCTACCAAACTGAGGGGGCCAAAAGGATGACTTCTGTCCTGATGGTCCGTCTCGTCTCTGTTTGCTAAGCTCTGCTCATCACAGGGAATAGGTACCTGTAATCAGCACGGTCTCCTATGAGCTGGACCTGGAAATCTCACCCCTGAGGCTCTTGGAGGCTGGTGCTGGCCCCAGGGTTGCTTTGCTCTGGCCGGATTTCTGTGTTGCCGGTGTGGGCTGAGGCCTTCGCTGGGACTGGAGCACCCTCTGCAGGGACCTTCCCTCCCTCAGTACCGTCCGTGCCGCTCCTGCATCGCTGCCTCCGCTGTCTGGGAATGCCGCTTTGCTCAGTCCTCCTTGCTGTCCCAGCTGCAGCAGCAGCTTCCTGGCGCTGGCAGTGCTCCCAGGAATAAAGTAATAGGTGGTGTTTGCTTCACAGTGCCTGGCTTAGGTGGTTGCAGGAGACGCTTATGATTTTATTTAAAAAATAAAGTTTGAACTTAATATGGCTTTGTAAGGTGAGGCCAGGTGAACCTTGAAAGACAAATTACTCAGCAATCACTGTTATTTTGTAATAGCACAAATCTGTTTCTTTTTAATATACAAGTTTTTAAATACTGTCTTTTCATGAAGTCAGGGGATACCCAGAGCTGCTTCTGCAAATGCTCTGTTGCTGTCTGGGTACGTTATGTCCTTCATGTGCAAAAGGCTTCAGCAGGGCTTTTCAAGGCTTCTTTTAAAGCCTAAAAACAAACAAACAAAATATCCATGCTGCCTTTATTTTATTTATATTTATTATTAACTTACACCACCAACGGCTTTATTAATTGTTGCCTTGTTTCCTGCACTCTCCAATGCACAGTCAATGCAAACGACCCAATGTTACACTGATAACGTTTTCCATGACTTTGCCTGGCTAGATAAACGGCTGCACAAGGTGCTGGCCAGCCGTGCGGTGGGCACGGGGTGTCCTTTTGTCATCTACGACGGCAATGAGGGGACACGCATAGGACAGCAAGTATAATATATGTTAGACAATAATATAGTAGATTATAATATAGCTCATTTATATTATAAGTAATACAAAATTATAAAATCATTGGTAATATATACAATATATTTATCATGTTTATTTGTAGATTGTAATAAAATTATATATTAGTAATACAAATATAAAGAATAATGGGAGGGGTTTGCAAGACCTAGATCCCAAGGAGAGAGAGCACACACCCTCTGTTAGTAAAATTATGAGATTTTTTTTTGTTAATAACAGTGAATAGCTAACGAATCCCCTCAGTGCGGG